TATTGGATATCATATGGAACACTTGTTGGTTATGTTCAACGTCGTGGATTATTACCACATGATCATGATATTGATATAATAATGATGACTGATGATACCCCACAACTTATTAATATTTCTCGCATGAATTTTTCTTCTGATTATGAAATTAAAGTTCAACCACAATGGCATATCGTCGATGACACTCATCGCTCTTATTTTCTTGAACAAGATATTAATTTTATTGAACCTAATGCAAGATTATTTCATCGAAAAACGAGATATCATATTGATATATTTCCTGCATATGATTTTAATCCACTTTATGCAAACAAATCAATAGAAGATAAACAATCAGAAAATTTAACAATCTATGATACCAAATATAACTGGTTTTCATATCCGAGAAGTTGGACATATCCATTGAAAATATGTTATTTTAGTGATATAAAAGTGTTATGCCCAGCAGAACCTGAAAAACTCGTAGCATTTTTGTATGGTTCTTATGCTATAACAACATCCAATAAAAAATGTGTTAATGGTAGATGGGTGTACAATCATCAACACAAGAAGAACAAATCTAGGCAATAATATCTATCTAATCTAATAGATGATTTTGAGTTTTTGACCATGATCAAGTAGTGGAAAGTATCATGATGGTGTTTTCTTCTTTTGCTTTGTTTTAAAATTAGTATTTAATAATAAGGTTTTAGACAAAACTACTACTAATTGAACATTTGAATGATTTTTTTTCCAACGCTGATAAAATTTAGAACTTATTGGATTCTTAGTCTTCGCTGATTTTGAACTGAGAGTCGTGAAAGCTACGTTTATATCTATGTGTTTTCTTGGATTTGTTTTGAGATTTTTGAGTTAGAATTTGAAATCTTCAATAATATCTGTGGTTTGATATCAATATTAATATTGAAAAATTGCTGACACTTAACAATTAATATTAAAAGTTAAACTTAAATCTAATAATATAATAGTTTGTATTAGTTAATATGACTATCAACTTTAACATGACATCTCTCATCATCCGAGAATCAATTTTTCAATCTATGATCTACTGTTGTTTAGATAGAACAGAAGGTATTCGAATTGAATCAATATTGTTTATTTAACAGATCATTCAAATTTCATGTATTCTGTAAAACTTAAGATTAGATTTTGCTTCAACAGAATCTTCGAAAGTAAGTCGTTTTCAAATATTGAACAATGCACTTTTCTAACAAAGAAACTTCACTATTACCATCTTTTGAAACAATCAGACAGCGTATCTGGTTTAATTATTACTTACATAGTTTGTTCACAAGTGAACATCATATATAATGTCTTGATAAAATAACTTTTGAAACATAAATTTGTATTTGCATTTGAAAAAACATCCTTTCACAAATATTTCTTGTAACTTTGAAACTTAAATACTACAATGGTTATACCGATGGAGATATGATTTTTGAAAAGAGAAGATTGTAGTTACATGCGTATTTGGCATAGTCGTTAAAGAAATTGTCAGATATTTATAATTTTTCATTACATAAATTCTGTTTTATGCTTGAAGAAAGAGAACTAAAATTGTCTTACGTTTTACGGATCACTTGTTATATGAACATGGTAAACAAAAACCGTGTTTCAAAGATAAACAGCTAGAATATACGTTTAAATATGATGTCATAACTCAGTTAGAGGAATGCTATTATGTTTTAGCTTCTGTTGAAAAAAAACAACTTAATGCAACATTTATTTATTAAAAAGCAAATATGATGTTCATATATATCACACTTATGATTTTAATTCACTTTATGCAAACAAGTTAGAAAAATTGAACAGTCTATGATTTCCGTTCTACTTGATTATTTTATTGTAGCAGTTTGACATATCCATTAGAAACATGTTATTTTAGTGAGATTATGGTCTTGTGTCCATTAGAACCTGAAAAATCATATAGTAGCAATCATGTATGGTTCAAGCGTTACAACAAAATTCGATGCAAAATTACTCACTGAAAGTTCAATTGATGATGATTCAAATGGAAATAAATAAAATCAATATTCGTTTTTTTTTTCAATTTAGAGATTAAAGTTAATATAAAACAACAATATTCCTGTTGACATTTTTCAACTTCAATTCTCTTCTGCCTTACACTTACTTTTGCTATTCATGACAATAAACATTGTTCTGTGATACATTTGCTTCGAAAATGAATTTTTTATTAATAAGTTATTATTTGTACCTGATTGGTAATGATCTTCATAGATGAAGCATTATTTCGTATCATAATTTTCGAAAAGTCTGTTTGAAATCTTCATCTGCTAAGACTATTCAATCTCATTAGTGAAAGAAATCCTATTAAGAGCACAATGTTAAACACAGTAATACTACCTATCGATGAAATTTACATACTAGTACGAGGAAATTTAATGAGAATTTTGAGTTACAATCATTCTAAACCAAAAACTTGTCTTCGATTAATTCGAGATTTATTAGACTTTATCAAAATAAAACTAATATCTCTCCTTTTGTGTTTCACATCAAGAAAAGTAACAAGTTTTGTACTTGATAATGTCCTTATGTAGATTCTTCGACATTATTCGTATTATATATTTTCAAATAGGTGATAATGTTTATGTCTTATGTCAATCTACATATAATCAATTTTATGTTGTTAATTTTGGTTTTTGCATCATGAATAGAAAACGGTTGTTGCTTTCAAACAGAATATTTGCAATAGCTTCACATATGTTTCTGGTTCTGTTTCTTTTCTCTTCTCATTGATTGATTATCATGATCACAATCAAACACATTTCGAAGAATAGAAAATATTATTGTGATTGTTTGCTTTATTTTCTATCTTGTATACATGACACTATCTTCTTTGCAAAAAAATAATTTGCAACGAACCTAAAATTTGTTCTTAATATTCATCGGAAGTCAAAATCTGTTTCATTTTTTGTCAGTGAACAGTAGTAGAAGAAACCATAACTACTAAATCATACATTGGAGAGGTTGTTTTACTAGTAACCGTCAGACTAGATCATAAGAATTAAATAAAAAGTATTTGCATAAAGCAATTTTCATAGTCAATACTTGGCAGTACTTAGTTAATCAATTCATAGAAAACAATCAAAGAATAAATAGGTTTAGCATTTTATTTCTTTTGTGTCTTCAACTTGATAATTATAAATTCCTTTTCCAGCTGTTACTATGAATTCAACAATTCTATGCCAAGTTGATTGTTGTCAAGTATTGTAAAATCGAAAAAGTTTTTCTCGCACTTTTGTAAAGTCAATATCAGTTATTTGTATTGCAGGACTATTAGTTACATCTGCTATCGATATCAACGCAATATGTTCTCAAGAAAAAATTGACTACAAACTTATTATTGTGCATACATTTGAATAAACGCCAACATATGCTTGAAAAGTTAGTATTGATACTGTCAACATTTCTAGTTACTCTTCAACTTAAATTTCACGTGCTTGTTGCTCTAAAACATCGTAAGTAGTATTTTTCGATACTAGAAGTTTCTCTCAATCATAATTTCATAAACCAATTCAATCAAAACGTAACAAGTGCGTTTTCTAATTGAGAAATGAATATTTCTCAGAGAAAATTACTAATACTTCTTGTTGTGTCACTTTCTGTCACGATGATAATATTCTATGATGATCAATGTCAATTTTTTTCTAATATTACTACTATACACAAAAATATCTGGATTGAGCAAGCTATTCAACAAATTCCAACATGTACTCAAGATGATCGTCCTCGT